TTGGGGGGGGGGGGTGTGATAAAATTTAGGGCATGTGATCGACTAATGGGTTCACATGAGTAGTGTAAAAGAACATGGGACTGACCTTATTGTTATTTTGATCGGAGGATCCGGTAGATGCAGGGTTGAAAGCGGATGAACTTGAACCATAAAATCGCGCCGATTGACCTGTGTCTAGCACCAGTGGGGACGTAATGGTTGCCGCAGCCGCAGTTGAAATAGCTCCAATCAGTGCGCTGCCACCAGCTCCAGTGAGGCTAACGTTATTCAAGTTTGTCGTACATGTTGTTGCGGTATTTACTGTGAGTGGAGGACGGAAGCGGACCTGAACCACACTTGGATTGACTCCCGGCATCATAATGGCAGTACCGTACGACGGTGTGGTACTTGTGGTTGCCGTGACAGCAGCAGGAACCATACCAGCAGGCAATGAGAAAGTAGCAGTTGGATGAGGTTCAGAACTCGTGGTGGCGACTGTCGGAATGTTTGCCAGGGAAGACGATGTACAAGAGGAGAGAACAGGATAGGCGTTTGAAGTGGTTAATACATAAACCGTTGCTGCCTGAGTATGAGCTACCTCCGGGGTTGAAGAGCAAGTTGTTGAGCGAAGTGACTGGGCTACAAGGCCACCAGTCCCACCAACAGAAGTCGATACAACTTCGGAATTACAACCGACTGTTCCAGCGGTCCCCAGTCGTGTAATTAAACTAGGGACATTCGTTGGCAGGGTGTTCAGTTGCGCGGGGCTGGTCACCAGAGCAGTGGGACATGACTGAGTCATACTGGTAGGATTCGGGCGAACTGAGAGAAGACGAATGCCCACAAAACCCCCAGTTGTTGTAGTGGTTGTTGGTGTAGCCATAGACATAGAGTTTAGTGGAGCGCTCAGGCACGCACATGTGGTCGCACACACAGAAGACATGAAACCGGGGTTGGCAGCCTGCATAATTGAGGGTAGAATAAGCAATTGTTAGATACGTCAAACAATGTAGACGTGAAGCCTAAAATCTTTACTCATAATTCGTCCTCTTTCGGGCAACAACTGATAGAGAGGTACACGCCATCTACAGTTACGTTTGCATAGTGAATAAACAGATGTTTAAAAACAAATGTATATTTGAATATCCTTCAATATTTGGATTTTGAGATCCGGACTTTATTAATTTATATGATTTAACAGGAAAAAGTGTACACCAAGGAAACGAAGACCCGAGAGATTCGAAAGTTTTTATTCACGTATATAGATAGGTCCCTCATAATGGATAATGAAGACCAACAAAAGCCACCTTGTCACGTTATAAACAATGCATAATAAACTTCGGTAATAAAACTTATCACCACAAAATACCTACTCCATTAGGAGTAAAATGCGTCCAAGAAATTACTTCGTTGACCGTCAGAAAAAGGACCTAGTTAAGAAATGGAGAAGAGCAGTCAGTTCAGCATCAAGGATCAAACTGCTGAGCTGGGTCGATTGCTATGCTGGTGTCCCAAATAATGTGCGATTAATATGAACAAGTGTCATGCACAGCAGAGAGGTTCATTACTTATATTAATTTCTTATTTATACTGTGTTGTTTTCCTAAGAATTCTACTAGATGGAGCAAGCCGGAATCGTATAAATCAAGCGTCCGATTACCAGTTGCACGAACTAAACCGAACTGAGCATACCGGACGATGGCGCTATATTGTTCTAAAAAGCAAGTTAGTAGTGAACTGTTGTTAAATTCAGTCTAACGCAGTGGAAAAAGAATAGGTATGAAAAATAAAACCACGTTAAGCGAATCAAACGAACGTAACGGGAGCCGAAAGAACAGGAAGAGCAAGGGAATGACACTTATCAACGATTCTCACGTGGTACTCAAGACGAAACGGACTCACCTTCATTTGCAAAGAATCCACTGTGGAAGAACCACCAGGTCTAGGTGACAGAGTTGTCAGAGACTGTATGGGAAGAGCAGATGTACTAGAAGGCGCAGGTTGAATAATCGGTTTCGGAATGGCCACAATTGTTGGAGTCATAGTTTGACCACTCCGGCCGGGTATCGGAGTGAAATGAGCAATCGATATTGGAGGTCCAGTGCTACACAGTGGTACAGCCGTTAAAGTGGCTGGGTTAGTAGCAGTGGAACAAGTGACCGCGGGAATGGTAATTGGAGCGGAATTGGAAATGATCGCCAAATTAGCTGTACTCGTAGAAGAGGTTGTTGGAGCAGATGCAACAGTGGCGGCTAATTGTTGTTTGCGAGCCCGTTTTCGATTAGATGAAGATGAGAAAACTGAGGATAAATNATTGTGACGCGGTGACAGAATGCATGAGGATATGGCCGGATGCAAGGGGGAGCGCATTGAACCCGTCGAAACGGACGGAGTCGAAGAAGACGCTGTCAAATTAGAAGAAATGGTAGGTAATCTAGCCGGAGCAATATTGATCGGTACCACCTGAGGAACAGTTGCTCCTGTCGAAGGCGATGTGACAGACGAATGCACAGATGTGTATAAGTAAGATGGGGCGGCAGAAACACCACCCGGAATGGAGAGGCTGAAAGGTTTCAGCAACGATGCGTTTGTCAGTGG